CTTTTCCATTGAACGAACGTTTTTCAAAAGTAAAATGCGGAGAGTTTTGGAAAGTGTCTTTCATAAGAAAATGGTTTTGCCACTTGTGCATCTAAATAACAGAAAAGAATAGTAGAATAATACAATTATTCCAAAAAATAAATCAACCTTTTTAATATCATTTTTTATATTGGGATTATATAATATAATATAATAATAATTCTTTATTGGCCAATAGTTGCCATAACCAATCAATACCAAATCATCAGTCATAAATTTGGATTGAATTGAAATTGGATTTTTCCTTTCGTTCTTACTAGATAGTAAGTAAACCAAGATAGATAGTAAGTAAACCAAATCCAATATCTAGTTGTTTGAGAATAATTAGACTGAATAGGTTTTAGTTTCCAACCAAACATTGATATTCTGAAGATCAGATCAATATTGTTGTTGATAATTTTAAATCATTTGATCATTGATCCGTAAAAATCTTATTATTCAGAAACCGAACTCAGTCATATGAAATTTACTTATTAATACACAATTATCTACCCGATCATCGGCAAAGTCCGTATAAATACAGCTATTTTTATTAAAGTGGTTCTGTTGTAAACCCATGTCGATGAAGAAAAAAATTAACTAAAATACTATAGACGTTACCCAGCAAATGGTATTATTATGTTTTATACTTACCCTTCACCCTGTAAATTTCTAACTATATTCCAAAATCGATTTGAAATAACCCTAAATTAAATATAATTTAATAACTAACAGTTTTATCGTGGTTGATAGAATCTCCTCTCCCAGCACCTGCCAAAGTGGATGTTTGGATGTTCGTTTCGAAAGTTGGCTGTAGTCAATTTTATAAAGACAATCACGAAATTGTTTTTACTGCTATTACATTATCTTACTGCTATAAAAAAGATAACTCTGACTTGTTGGGTATTACAACGAATATTGGGGATAATGAAAATAATATTAAAATCTTGTATGTTCTTATCTATATGCTTATAATATGAATGTATTTTTTTAAGTTTATTTCAGGCTGATATTTTATGTTCAACAGAGTTTCCACAAAATTTTTTTCAATCTATTTTAATGTTAAACAATTAACAAATGTTAATGTTATTGTGAAGATACGGCTTTTGCTACAACGCTCCTTTTTTATAGTACGGTAGAATCGAAGACATTTTCCATCAACAACTTTAATTTATAGATGTATTATTCTCAATATTGGGAATATCATATGAATATCGCAGCTAGACGATGTGATATGAGTTGTGGTAAAATAATGCTAAAGTTTGGAGGTTTAATGTCGGTAGCATTTACTGGGTTGGTATTAATCTAGATTTTTATTATTAGTACTTAACAAGGAATCACGATATTCAAGTTATCAATTTTATTAATACTGACCACATAGTTCTTATTAAAAAATATAAAAGTAGATTAAAACATCTACCTAAGGCAAATCCTTCAGTCACTCTAATGGTACGTGAAATTCCAAATATGTCTATTAGAGCCCCATTAGTGAAACGCACGACCTATAATAACAATACCGTAGCATAAATCGCATGGGCGTGGACAACAACCCCGATGTCACAAGAAAAGATTGATCAATCCATTTTCGAATATCAGTCGCCAGGCTATGCCGGCAAACAAATTTTTAATAAAAGAAAATTAGCTTAAACGCTGTATCCGATTTCCATCAGATAGTTATTGCGAAAACGTTTGAACCATGGTACCCAGGAAACCCATGAATATGCTACTGTCTCACTGTCAAAGGTTTCATTAATATTGTTTAAACTCCAAGCGGCATGTGTTTTTAGTTAGGGTTGCGATTTGTCTGTTGGTTCAGCTTTGAGGATAAGCGATGATTTACGAAATTTTATTTTGAGCATTTCTTCACGTCAAATAAGTTTTGGTTTAAATTGAACATATGAATTTAAAGGAACTTACGATAGCGTAAATAAATTCTTGGTCATGATTATTGCAGTATGTACCTATAACATATTTCAATACCAAAAGACATTGTCTTTCTCCACAAAATTCAAGGATGTGACCTAAAAAGTGTTCAATATTTGACGGGGCAAGCATTTTCAAAATAAAAAGTTATTGTCAATGAGCGTGATCTAAAATACTTCGTTTTCGCGATACAGGGTGTCATACTTTTTTTTTGGTTTCTTCTCCATAAGAAATGGTAGCTGGGGATTTTTGACATCAGAACTTTAAATTTGTTCTTAATTTACTCTTACATGTAGGGCGCGCTACCTGCATGTATTTTCTTAAATTAACAAAGCTCATGACTTTTTGGAAGTATTGCATTTCTGGTAAAAAAAATAATAAATTACTCAATCAATGAATGTGTTTGTGAAACAACAAACAAAATAATGTATTTTTAGACAACCTTGAAAATACGAATACTAGATAAAAAAAGCTGTGGAAAATGTCCTTCCTCGAAACCTAAACCATCATACATTTACATTAAAAGTATTTCAGAAATATTGAACACTTATTAAATAATAATCTGTCTATTAATCATCAAGTTGACACGGTCAACTGTCTTGAACAAGAACTTTTAAAAACTTTTTATAAATTTTAAATTACGCTAACTTTGCACGTAGTACTTCCTATACATTGTTGCTCCTTTTGGAGAAAAAACAATAAAAAATTCTGGAATTTCTCAGTTTTGAGTTAAAATCTCTCGATATGATTAATATTAACAAAAATCGTTTTGCACACAACCTAACTATGAAACACAAAATTAAGCATAGCATAAAATTCACCGCTGCTGCACATGCATTTTGAACGAAACTCTCGCAAAGAAAAAGCAGATTTTTCATTAATCTTAAACCATTTCGAGACATTCTGACTCAAAATTGATAGAATTAATATTTTCAAATATTTTTTTCGAACACGAGTAACAATAGACATAAAATACTAACTATAAAATTAGTAGACAAACCAAGCTAATTTAATAAAACTCATTTTGAACCGCGAAAATTTTTTGAAAAGTGGATATAACGGTATTAGGAAGGAATCTGAAATAAAAACATATGAATTTTAAAAATATTTGTTAGTCCGTTTCTAATAATTTTATTTTCATAGCATTATCCGATCCTGTATATTTAAATCTGGCTCATTTCAAAAATGGTCACCTAGTATATAAGACTATACAAGAAATGCGACACTATCCTAAAAGGTACGCTTTTCGGATTTAGGAATAGAATCAAATCATGCTTCCTTTGTAGTACATTTGTGGTCCAGAACTGTTATGATGTGCAGAAAGACGTATTTTCCTGTTTTGTTGAGTATGAAATTAACTAAGAGATTGAGAACAACGAACATGGGCGAGAAAGAGATCAGTCGTATGCAGAATTTGTAACAATAGGTGAATTTGAAGACAATGATTTTCAAGTGAAGCCGAAAAATGTACAATTTATAATAGACAAACTTCATACTACTAAATTCTGTAAATTTTGTCGCACTGGAGTCAGTTATCTTTATATAGTTCTCAACTGGTTTCCAAAATTAATATTGTATTATATTATGTTAAGATTAAGAGAACGCAAAAAACAGAGGCATTATCAAAAAAGTTTGTAGTAGAGTTTTAATAAAAGTGAATAACCTTGTATTATATAACTCTTAAATTGATTACATTCAGGTAAACCCGAGTCCTTATACAAATATTTACAATGTGAGCTTCTTCAAAAATGATGTATTACTTTGCAGACAACTGTAAAAACATATTTACCATATTTGCTGTAGTACATATTTAGAAGTTGTATCGTATGTTCACCATTGATGAAATTAAATAGTTAAACTAATAGTAAGTACACACATATTGTGGATGAATCTAAATTAGCGATTAGTTTTGGTTAGTTTGATATTATCCTAAGATTGTTATAAAATTAGCAAAAATTATCTGAAAATATTAAATATGACTTAATAATATTTATACTGCTCAAATTTTATTTACGTGTTTTATTTATAGTTATCAAAACAAAAAACAAAAATATAAATAAATTGGAGGTATTTTAAAGATTTTTACAACGTAACATTTTTTGCTGATCGTGTGTAAATTATTTGCTAAATTTTTAGAAATAATTAATTAATTAACGAAAAAACACAAAAAAAAATTATATAATATTTTTCGGCAGCATGAAAGATCTCTTGAGTGACAGTATCTACTTACAATAATATCTGCAGGAAATTATTAGACTTTCTAAACAGGAAAAGGTCGTAATATCATGAGCCGGTCGCACACTCGCATATAAGGAAATTTGCCGTCGTCCATGATAATAAAAAATACGCCTGAGCAAGTCGAGAGAACCACATATCCACGGTCCTTTGTGCCATACCGACAGCGAAAACAGCAAGACGCGATATCTGTCCTTGTCTGTCCCGCGGGAGTAAAAGAGACTGCGTGAACGAAAGGTAAAACGAACCGATAAGTGGCAGCCAACCAAAGTGGGAGGAGTAAAATACGTCTCCCAAGTCCGAGTCGAGTCGTTATTCCAACCTCTGCGGCCAGTCTTTGCGCGGCAGGCTTTTTGTGAGTTGCGTCAGACGTCCCCTGAAAGATAATGTCATTGTTATTCCGCGTTTTCACTTAAAATCGTTTTGTACGTGTGTTTTGTGGCGTTATTTTGACTATTGTGGTGAAAGTTGGCATATATTTTTGGTCGTCGTTGACAAAAAAAATAACCGATTGATTATTTATCTCTTGAAAATCTGAACACTTCAGCGTACAGTGCTCAGTTTTCGGAAATTAAAATTATAGCGAAGATTGTTTGCATACAAAAATCACAATTTTATGAAATTGTTTATCAGCGTGTTTACTCCGCCCCACTTCACGCACTCTCGGGCCCGTCATCCATCATGGTGCGTGACGTCATAGCGCACGATTGGAGCGCGGCAAGTCACGTGGTTAGTTAATTGGACACAGTGGGCGTAGACGGGTGGCTTGGAGAGGGAGAAAGATAGCTCGGCCCCTAACGAACGTTCCTACATACATGCCCTTTAGAGAATTCCGGAAAAATTATTAATGACTATGAGTTCGTTTCTGATGAACCCCGTCTCGGGTTATCAGCAGCCGCAGCACATTTCGGCTGGGGTCGTGGTGGATCCTAAGTTTCCCCCAAGTGAAGAATATAGTCAAAGCAGTTACATACCGTCATCTACGGACAATTTTTTCGGAAACCACCATTTAAATCAACCTCAGCACCATTTGCAATACGGCTACCACAACCATCATCAAGCAGGTACTTATGGATCGGCCGGCGTCCCATTATCTAACTCGGGTTATGGCGGTTACGGAAATTATTACCATCACCAACTCCATCACGCGGCAGCGCCAATTCATCAAATTCGCCCTCCGGTTCAACCAATACACGACTCTCAAAGTCAGCTGCTCAATTGTGGTTCCCTGCCAACAAATCATCCGCAACCGCCAACGACAAGTTCCTCTAATCTTCTTCAAAATCTGGGGGATATGTCGCCCAACGTTTCCCAACCTAGTGACGTGAACTCTAGTGTATGTAGTCCAGCTTCTGTTGGACATGGACAAGAGTCAAGATCGCCGCCTGGTGCACACTCCTTGCAGGAATTGGGTCTGAGGTTGGAAGATAATGCGTCCGATGAACAAGATGAACTTGATGATGGTCAAGGCAGTTCCACTAACAACGACGAAGACGATGACGACGACGAAAATGGAGACCGCCAGATCTACCCATGGATGCGCAAGGTGCATGTGGCTGGAGCTTGTAAGTATATTTTTACATTAACTATATATTTTCTTCCACCACCATCACATCTTTCATATCATCGCCATTGCTTTTATTCCTAGCGACCAGCTGAATGTAAAACAAAACATCAAATATTTATTCTAATTAAAGGAAAATAGTTAATGTAATAATAGCCACGGATTACCACTTAATATAGAATTTTTTTATTGATGCAAATTTATATTGGTAATGTGTAAACCATGAGCAATAAAAAATAGATGTTTTTAAAATGTTTTAGAAGCAGATGTTCAGAAAGAAAAAATAAGAAAATATCAGTGAAATACCCAAATATTGATTTATAATATTTATAATCAGATTTATAAGATTTATTGATTTATAACATAAGATTTTAGAATTTACTTGAGCAAGGCTACTATTAAAATCTAATTTCGAATAGCGAAAAAAAGAACGAACAAATTTGCAGCATACCAATTTTCTTAAGGAAAAAATAAATATGTCAAAATATATTTAAACAACTAACACAAACAACTGGAAACTAACGTCCATTCGTCTTCCTTCATTTTTATTTAAGATCAATTTTAAGCCAATCTCTACATGAATGAGATAAGACTCGACACATGCACTGTTCTGGAGGATAAGGTACCATATCGTATATCAAAGAAAAGATAAACGAAAATACTTATTATGGCCTATTAGCATTCTGTTCCTAGTGAATATCTTTTTGGTTGTAGGTTGATGAAAATAAAAATTACTCAGATAACCAATATTTTACTAAACTTGATACATTTAAGTGGAAATCAGTCCGTTCGTCGTTGGTCTTCTTAGAATAGGATATTTTCTTTTTTCGATAATCTCTTCGGCACCACATATATTTATTTTTCTTCTTAACGTTACTGTTAAAATATTGGAAATATATCAATTTGGAGGCATAATAGTTCTAAGGAGTCTAATTAGTTCTGATGTGTAACCATTTATCCCATAACCAGTCCACATGTGGAAGAGTGTCATAATTCCATAATAAGTGCCAATATAAAAAAACACCACTATCTTATCAAAATCACATCACAAGAACAGCGAAAACGAAAAAAAAATGCACGCACTTATATGATTATAAAGTACGTATGACCTTTAAAATTTAAAGGTTGGGTTGTCGCATTTATTTCAGAGGAAAATTTTAATTTCTACTGCAAATTAAAGATTTTTTATCCCGATCCTCGTCATCTAATGTCTAGATAATTAGGAACGTTTAAAATTTTTTGGATTAAGTATAAATAAGTCGCAATACCATTATTGAAACTTTCAAAATTCAGGAGATATTAACAAAAGAGTGGCTATTAAAAGCTTTATAACTATTATAAAGTCTGTTCGATTATACATAATTTTAATTGCAGCACTATATCTTCTACCCACCACCAATATGCATTTGGGCGTATATTCATTAAGCGGCTTAAACAAACATCAACTTTTTCAGCCGTCTCTCAGGGATTAGCGAAATTAATTTAATAAAATATAAGTCATCGAGCTAATGTTATTAACCGTCTACCGAACGACAAGCGAAGATCTTAAAAAAATCTAGACTGCCTATTAACAGTTCTCGCCAGTCATTGGAAAATAAACGTGTAATATTAATATTTATGTTTACCTGCGCCGTGACGTTGCTGTTTTCTGAACATAAGATGTTGATCGTTTACTGTTTTTACGTTACGGGGAACAACATTGTTTGAAACGGTTGATATTTTTAGATCGAAAATTCACAGACCGTTGCCGATTGAAATTTAGGACATACCTAAATTTTTAGATAGTTTTGGTATTTAATCGATATGTTTTTTATTGTTAGAAGCAACAATTATAGCAGTATCTAGACATGTTAGGTAGTTAATATGTATTTTTATAATAATAAACCAATTAAATTATCATTTCGTGAATTAAGTGCAAATCTTAGGATAACCAGAATCCAATCACACTTTACATAAAAGAAAGTCTTATTATGGCAGATCTTATAGTGTCAGCTTCTTCAGTATCTTCTGATGTGACTTATAGCTCTGAATCTGTATGATGGCTACTTTTTTCTAGCATGTTTTAATTTTTATTTTCATTCCTCTCTTGTAGGTACATCCAAATAGCGTTATTTTCTGAAACAAAGACCAAGAACAAAAGAACAGTTTTTAGGATGAATTTACAGCAAATGAATGACTTACCTGCGGTAGTCCTAATAAACTTTATATTGGAGCAATGTTCTTTGTCTCAATTGAAGATATGTCACCGTTAGGCTCCTTGCAATGCCATATTTTTCGTGCTCGACTTTGCTCAAATCATTGCTCTGAAAACAGGTTCTTTAAATTTGTGTTTTTGGCAGTCACGTCACTGAGTTCTGGCCATTTTACATTGCTTCAACTAAGCAAGATCTGCTATTCCAGATCTCAATGTTTCGCCCTTTCTTGTGTGTTTTCTGTGTTCGTCGAGTTGTACATTAAGAGGACATTTTGTTTCTCCAATACAGACTCAGTATTCGCAAAGTACTTGATATTCTCCCTCTCTCGATTCGATGTTTCGGGACCACTTCTTAATTGACTAATCTAATTTAATGAAATTGTTTTAAATAACATCTTGGAATTGTAGTGTTATCTATCATTATTTAATAATAATATGTACTTTATAATAAATTAAATTAAATAAATATAAATTTCATTTTTTGTACTATTGGAAATCCATTCTATCATAATCTATATTGTTAAGTAATTTAATCCGCATAAGGTATTCTGTCACATATTCTCTTTAATGGGAGCCAATTAATAATGTGAACGAGTCCCTTACGTCTATGTGCGACATCCCATTGTTGTCAAAAAGTTAGTCGCATTATATTTTCAAGAGCGCACGTTTGAAACGAGTACCTGTTATATTCCCGTTGGTTGAAATAGATAAATCGAGTCTAATGCACTAAGATTTATGCCCAACCGAGACGTCCTCAGGATGGCGAAGAAAAAATATTTGTCTCTTTTTGTCAATGGCATTAGATAAATTGCTGCGATTTATTCTTTCTAAATTTATTAGGCATCAGATATGGTGAATACTTGCATACGCATTAGACACGCGACTAGTTTTTATGTGATAGAGGATTTGACATATATCATAGTCGTTTTAAATGTTACCCTGCAACGTTTAACCACAAATACTATTATTATTACTATTATTAGTATTAGTATCACTCTATTTATCGAACTGGAACAGCCAATATGAATTTTCTTCTTTTTCTTATTCTTCTTCGACATTAGGTGCTTCTGCCTGTTTTACTTCAATGCAATTTTTATCAAAAGTTGTCGTTCCCTCTTTTTCGTGGGCGTCCTATACTCCTCCGACCGGCAGGCGATTAATCTCTTGCTATCCTCACTATCCGTTGTTCAGACATTCTATCTATATGCGTTTTCCCTGCTATTTTGCTTAATGTTTTCATTTTATTTGTTTCCAGGCATTTTTGAGTCTTAGATGTTCCGATCTTGTTTCAGCGGTATATGTCGTGACTGGTTAAACTGCAGCTTTATATATGCGGGATTTTATTTTGGTTCTTAAGTATTTATTCTTCCATATCGTGTCGTTTAGGTATTCTGCTATAATCCCTTTGCAGTTCTCTTATTTCATCCTTTATGTTATTATCATATGATAGTCGAATTCCTATATATTTGATGTTCATTACCTGCTCTACGATTTGATTATGAAGTTCCAGCTTACATTTAATTGGTTCTTTAAAGATTACTAGTGATTTAGTTATTTTCATGTTAAATTTCTTTGCATTTATATTAAACTGATGTAGGAATCTCTGCAAATCATCTTCATTCCCATCTACCAATACAGTATCGTCAGCTTAACACACAATTTGTATTTCTTTATAGCCTTTTTTTGTTTTTACTTCTCTAATTATTTCATCTAATATAAGTTAAATAAGGGGCGTAGTAAGTCTCCTTGCCTAATACCTGTGTTACACCCATGGGCTCAGTTAGCTCTGAACTTACTCTTGCTTCTATTTTATTACTTTTGTATATACTTTCGATTAGTTTTAATATAATGTGAGTTTTGTGATGCAAATTATATTTAGAGCGAGATGGGGATTTTCTTGCTTTTGTCAAAGAAGTTGCATTTCATGCGGTTAAATCGCTTGTTACCGGGTATTTTGTAAAATCATTTTAATCATTTTCCATTTTTGAACCATGTGGTTGCGATATATTTTGAGTATTTTTGACGGTGACAAATAAAATTCGTTAGAAGTATATACGATGTTGACATGAAAACAAAATTACAGGTCTCAGTTTGGAGACTTTGGCAATTTTCAGTGGTAATATGAATAATAAAAAACAATTTTCTGCAATTGCTTTAAAGTGGAAAATTGACAATGCATATCGAGGAAACAGCAAAATTAAGGGGAATGGTTTTAAGGGATATGCAGAAAATTTTGCATGAAAACAAAACTCAACGTAATACCGAAAAAGATTAAAAAGTGTAAACTAATAAACCCAAAGACTGAAAATTTGAGGGAGGATGTTCGGAGAAAACCAATTTATCTCTTCCCGCTTTGAAAGAAACTCTAAAAAAACGCGGTACTCTGGATATTAAACTTGAAGGATTTATGAAAATTAATTAGAACGTGAGTCTTTCTCTAGAAAAAAAATACAAAAATGACATATCAAAATTTAGAACAGTGGTATTTTTCGAGGAAGTGTGGATATTTTCCAGCGGAAGTGCTTCAAAATGTTCGCTATTTTTTTTTTTAATTATTTTATTTATTTTTATTATTTTGCATGATGGTTGTTGAACAGGATTTATTCCAGGTGCTATTTCAATTTTTTCTTCCATGTCAAAAATTTGGAATATCATGATAATATGAAGTGTGAAATGTATGCAAAAGAAGAACTGATACCAATCTGCTCCCTATTAAATTAATTGTATTCGACGAGGCAGCGCATCATACAAGAATTTGAAGTAAACAACTTATACTTGGTCTTGGCAAAAAATATTATTTAAGAGTGGTTTGAGAGACAATATCAAAATCCTTAACCAAAACTTATTACGAAAATAGGTGCAAATAGTTTCGCAATATGTGTTATATCGTAAAAAGCGCAACTACTAGAACAAATCCATGACACATACAGAAAAAGTAATAATGGACTGGTGAGATCCAGAACCAGTACTAAATGTCAAAGTAGCACCGATGATCATGGATTATCAATATTGTTACTAATATGATAAAATTCAGTTTATTATTATTATTAGTAAAGTTACCGAAATAATCAACATAATTTAGTTATTTCGTAATTTTTCAACGACTACTCTCATATAATTTTATTAAAAATAATACTACTTGTCTATCACAATACTACGTAAAATAATAAAACCATTTTTCCTTTTTTCAGGTATGTTTTTTTAGGCGCTGTGTGTTCTGATATGATAATTAATAATAATTGGTAACCATTTTTTTTGCAATAGTAAATTGTTGCATTGCACACAGTTGCAGTAATCTATATACGAGCCTACATATGAATGCAATGCAATAGATGCTTTTGTTTTATAAATAATATAATAACATATCGAGGTGCCTACACATAGGGTATTATCTGATTTTGATTTAGATTGCACTAATATTGTTATAATCTATTTTATTTATATTATTTAAAGAAAATATTGTTTGAAGTAGTATTGCTAAATAAAGTATCAAAATCCTAGAACACATCTTCTCCCATCTGCATAACTGAACAAGAAAAGACAACAATCCCCATTACTATCCTTCCTTTTCTATTGTAAAATTTGACTTTTAAGTAAAAATAATCTTTCAAATATTTGTTATGTATTAACGCTTAAAAAGTCATTGATATCTTGAGTCTTATGACGGCGGCGAGAAAAATATTTGGAATTTTTGTCTCATTTTTCTAGAGTAATTTCAAATTTATAAATTTTGTTGATAGTTTGCTTCATAAGTAAACACGATAATAAAAAATACAGCAGTTCCCGAGAAGTAGTTTTTTAAACATAATACGGAGAGATGTTGAATAGGGCATGAGGGTATAGGACAGACGAAACGAAATATGATAATGTTTGGAGAGCATGTTTTGGAAATCATGTTCTAGGACTCAATTTTCTAATCGATTAAATAGGCAATGACTGAAGAAACGAAATAACTTTTTTAAAGAGAGCGGTGACCGCCACATTTTGTTATTATGGGAAAAAAAGATAAAAACATGACGGGTAGTACAATCTAAGACTGGCTGGATTTTAATCAATTTCTTATGTACTTACTGACATCAATAGACAAGACTTTGTTTTTCTTATTACCAAGAATCGGGCTTAAAATTAACGAAGTAGTGTGTATCAATCATGTTAATAGTGACTTGATTTAATTGATTTCTATTTTCAATAGTAACCAGATTTACTTATTACACAAAAGCGCAAATTTGCAAATAAAAATGTGGTACACATATCAAACTAGGCAAACTACAAACCAGAACTTGTTTGTTCCCTTTTCTTTGAAGCACATCTTATTAATTCAACAAGAAATAGATAATTCTAGTAAAAACTGATCTGTCACCAATGCCAAATCAAATAACCTAACAAGATGCACAATATAAATTTGTGGAAAAAAGCGAAAATTTTAAAGTGCGATATATTTATTCCGTAATTATATCATTAATGCCTCAATTATAATAAATTAGTAACTTTTTCCCTATAATTTCTAGTTTAAGAATTGTTTAAATTGGTGGGACATCAAACTAAAAATAAAATAATATATTTTTTATTGTTTTTACATTTTAAACGAACAGGTTTTAATTTTAAGCATGATGTCAGTAAGGTTCAACGCACCAGCTAAAAAATGAAAATGTTCTTATTTGAACTTTAAGTTTTGTTTCGTTGCTAAGCTCTCAGTGGTGTTTTTAATTTGAAATTTAGAACCGCAAATGCGTGCTGTGACACCTATAAATGGTTCCCTATTTTTCACGTATTTTGAGACCCTGCAAACGTGCGACATTCAGCAAACCTCAAGCTTCAGCCTTTAAGTGCGTCCAATTTATTTCTTTTTATAGTCTTAATGGCTGCCAATTTGTAACTTTAACAGCCGTCTGGCCTTTTAACTCGAAAGACCTGTACGACATCCCATTGTCGTCAAAAAGATATTCGGGTTATGTTTTGGGGTATTAGAGGCCAACCACTTCAGAATTTGAGAGTATCATCGCTTTTGTCGGGTTGGTTAGATAAATTGCATGCGATTTATTTCTCGCCTTATTTTTGTCGACCTTTCAAATAAACTGACGATATTTAAGTACTGGGAACATTTGATAAGCAAAACATGACACGCTTCAAACCTCACGGAAAAGCCCCCCAGCCTCATGGAATTTTAACTTGAATTTTTTATTTTGGCATTTTATGATCAATTAATTTATAACTTTTCTTTATAACGGTTCTTAGAGATACGTTAATGTACCATAAACAAAAGAAGATACAGAATTGAACTGAGGTGGTTTTTACTTGATGAAAATCCATTTAACAAAATAAATAAGAACTGAAAGTTCAGATTTTCACGAAGTTATATATATTCACATGAGAATTGTTTCGAGAACACCTTGTTTTTATCAAATAAAGACACGGTGTTGTCGAAACAATTCTCATATATAATTTCGTGAAAATCTGAACTTTAAGTTCTAATTTATTTTGGAGATAAGGAAGTCTAAAGTTATTTTATTTTATTTATTTTTTGTCAATTAAAATATAAAACAAAAATACTTAAAATGGGAATTAAAACAATTTTAAAAACTGATGTCAAAATATTTTTTTTATTTATAGTAATAATCCAAAACAAACATTAGGCTTATAATAAAATTACCTTTTTGAGTGAATTTTGAAATTCTTATTCGTAATAGTGGCTAATCTCTACTTCACGGTTCTTAGAGATACGCTAATGTAACAAAAGCAAGAGGAGATAAAGAAGTGTAAAGAAAATTTCAAAAATGATGAGTTATAAATGAGGTCATAATTTTATTTTATTTATTTTTTGTCAATTAAAATATAAAAGAAAAATCGCTAAAATAGGAATTAAAATAATTTTAAAAACTGGCGTCAATTTTTTTTAATTTTTAGTAATTATCCAAAAGAAATATTAGGCTACAAAATTGTCTGTTAACAAATTGTAGTTTTAATTTCAACCTGCATAAAATTAACGTTTATAAATATGCGTATTGGTAGTTCTCGTTGCATTTACATAATATTTTAAACACAAAGGCGCGAAAATAAGTGGCTCAAAATATTTCCGTTTCATTACCGATGTTATTAATTCTTTTCATCAATATGTATTCTGTATTACGAAAAGTTCGAAATAATCATATCATCATGTATTATAATTTAATCCATTTTGCTACTCGTTAATTCTGTTTGTCCATAATGTGTTTATTTGAGACAGCCTTTAATTTAATTGTCATTGACGATAATTAACAACATTCAACAGGTTTTAATCGTTCTCTCATGTCATTTATTGACCTTCCATTTAGATTGCTTAATTGCACCATAACCAATACTAATTTTTATGTGCATAAAAAACGTACTGTAAAAAATATTATTATAATAATACCATCAATTATTTTAATAATTATTTTCGTCTTTATCTTTCCAGTTGCAAACGCGAATGAAATTTCAGCTAATGGCAGTAAGTTTTTATTTATAGTATTAACCTTCACTAATACCAGACCAGGAGTGGATGTTTTCGAATATCGGAATTAAAAATTGGAACTGGGTCTAGCCCTGCCCAAGCGAAGAAGAATTCGTTCGATGATAAAGAAACATGGACTCCTGGTCTTGTATAACTGCTTAATACTTTCACGCCAAAACGTTTTGTATAGCTTTTAACAGAAAAATTCTATAAATAAAATAAAAATTTCGACATAAAAATATAAAAACCTTTCAGCTCAAATTTTACTTTATTTACTGTTGCTTTTTTATGTAACGATTCTAACATAATTAAATGCCGTTTGACTAGTTTGACAAGTTGTTAGAGTTTCTATCGTTTGAGTTTGAGCAAACGCAGTAAAAACTAATTTTTGTTTTTAAGGCCATTATTTGTGCTTCCAGATTTGCACTTGATCACAGGTATTGATATATCTGCCCCAAACGTCGTGTAAACTAAAATAAATATAATGGAATTGACAATCTCTTAGTATTTACCATTATTTTTGTTTTGAATTTATTTACAGAAACTGTCTCTGGCAATTCGTCTATTTTACACAGCTTTAGGCTGAATAATTTTTATTTATAATACAAAATTTATAGGCAATAATATTATTTTGTTTTTAATCGAACCGCAAACTTTCTTTAATTATAAAACACATTCTCAATAATAATAAATTATATAGGACGACCACAATTTGACCTATTAAGACATCATACTTGCGACAACGGTTCATTTCACAAGGACTAATGACTTCTCTCTTTAGAATAAGTTAAAATCTGTTTTAGGTGGCTTCGTTGTACTAGAGACAAGTTACGCTTCTACCAAATAAAACTAAACATCAAATGAATTGAGAATTCCTCTCAATAATTAACAATTGAAAGTTAATGCGAATTTTTATAATTTCCCGAATTATAATTGCTAATAATGACCATGGATAAGACTTAATTGTTATTTTGAAATCTCTGAAATCGGTTTCTTAAGAAAGATAAAAAATCAAATATTTATTGATCTTATTATTTTCACAATGATATTCTTGGAGTTACACAGCCCTTGGATGCCATTTATGTCATTGCATTTCATTCATTTACTTTCATTTTTCAAAGAAATTTGTTGACTTTCTCGAAATTGAATACCGGGCAGTGTCTGTGTCTATGGCACACCTGTCATTTTGAGGAACTACCAACCAAACAATTCTTTAATAGCTAACCATTAAATTGTACCTAAATTTTGTTTTGTGCACAGAACACTGTTAAAAAATATATCCGGATAACAGGCACTTGCCAAAATTTGTTCCCATTATCCACCAACGTGTTGCCAAAATTTCGTTCATTAGTTTTAAGATTTTTTGTTTGGTTTGAGTTTGGTTTGGATGGGTGCTAGGCAGCGGTTTCGATGTTTTCAAACATTAACGAATATGGTATCAAGAGAAAAACGGGTGCTAACATCGTAAACCAGAATAGAAAGTCCCATGAAGCCGAATGTAACCGCCGACAACCGCTTCTCGAACGGCGTTATTATTGTGAGAGCCGAATAAACCGTAAAGTCACCACACGAACATGTCACCACCTTCCAACATCAGTGACCGGCTTCTCAAACAGAAAATATTTGAATAACATTTAATTAGCCTGAATTAACAATAAAAATGATTCTCATTGTTGATTGAGCCTGTGTAGTCTGCGGCGGCGGCACAAACTTCGTCGGCGAGATTCGAACGATAAATAATTTTGTACAGATTCGGACTAGCAAGATAGCCCTTAACGTTTTGTTCTTTCCATTATGCAGCGCAACTTGGTAGCACATGTTACCGAAGGATTAGTTGAAGCGTTATATCCTAATAATATCTAGCATTATTTATATATAAATATTATTTCAAGATTAAATGTTGAAGAGCAAGATCGAAACTAGGTGAGTATAGAATGCCTAAATAAATTATTTCAAATAACGTCTTTACTGCAAACCTCGAAGGTTTTAAAAAATATTAATGATGATTTTTTAATTATTCTTTAACTTTATATGTATATTTTGGTGATCTGAGAGGAACTAATAAATGCCTCCCATCTTCGCACCAAAATTTTAGAAAACTGACAGGCAATGTTAAAAGTTGACTCAGCTTTTCAATCCTTTTAGCAACTAACTATACTGGGGGGATAAACACTGTGTAAAATAAATTTCCTATTATTATTATTATGCACTGTTCATTTTGGCTACTGGTGGTATTTTCACGAGTTCCGATGGTCACGTCACACGTCAATATATTCGTGCTGCTTTGCAAAAATTTACTCAAAAACTAATGGTCGAAGAAAGAGTAGATATTATGCACAAATTGATAAACTTCTTCAGTTACTCGTTCATTAAACGCTTGCCAAACAGATTCGTGACTAAAGTGTCGCTTACCAAACTTGGATAGTATACTATTTCGCAGTAATTAACGAATAATATATAAATTATAATTTTTTGTAGGGTATCCGCTCGGGTTCCCGAGTAGATTTCTTTGCTGCTTAACTATTACGTCTAGTTGGGTCTTCTATGCATTTAACGTTGCTCTCGGATTACTATGCGCTGATATCTACTGAAAATGCGACCTACAAAACTCATTAAGGTCAGTGGAAACAAACTAGAAAAATTAAAGTAGAAAAACATCTAAGAAAACAAATATTCAAGCTTTCTAACCATTCCGCAAATCGCGCCAGAGGGACGTATTGGAAATATTGTACAAAATGTTAAATATATTGTTAAACGAACTCATCTAAGGCCCGTTTTAGCTCCTACTTTTAGCTTGTAGTTTTGACTAGTAATAATGTCAAAAACAAATACAAAAGTTATCATGTGTCCTATTCTAAGATAGAGATGTGTAAGGTCGGTATGATAATTATCTGTGCAATCTTAAACTCTTACATCAATTGTTATTGAGAAAGACGAATACTGCTTCAACGTGAATAGTGAACTATATTTAGCTGAATCCAATGCAGAAACTCAAGGCAAAGACAAGAATTTTGTACAGATGTGTTGCATAAGAGTTACGCGAGAATATTTTTTTTATAATATAAAACAGTCCGATCCTGATTTTGGTCGCGACGCTGCTGCGCGGCGAAACTTTATAAAAGAAGTCATCCGCCTGTTAGCAGCATAGCGGGATGACAGAGCAAATTTCTAGAGTGAACAATTGCACCGCCACTATTATAAAGGTTACAGCAAGGTCATATTTCGTGAGGTCCTGATGAGTTTCTGCACGAACGTCTCTCGGACCGCCGTATTCCTGGAACGGTTTTCAATTCGCCATTTTTGCGTCCTGAATTTTTTACTAGTTATTAAGGACTTTGCTTCCCAATTGCTTTTATTTTTTTTAAAACTTTATGTATTGCTACTGTTAAATTTATCTGTTTACATAGGTCTCTAACTTATACGTACGTTTTGGATAATTTAAAACGGAGATGTTCACCTTGGTTTTGTGTTAGTCCGTTTTAGACGTGTAGCAAAATTTTAAAGTTTTTGAATCCACCAATAAGAAAACAGATGTGTTTAGAAAGGCGTGAACTTTTTTGATTAGGCTCATTTTGGAAAATAAAAGAGTAACTTGATTGGTTGGAGGATAAATGTTAACAAATCGTACCCTGTACAAAGTTAATGGAAAATTGGCTAATCTTCCTAAAAATTTCAAGATATACGTTCTTCGCTACATAATTGGTATAACATGGTAAGTGTTAAAAATGTAACGGTATATTCCTTATGAAGGAAGGAAAAAAACATACAGAGAACCATAGTTAAAAAATATATCTTTAATAACTTATGAATCAATTGAACCAGTTTTATCCGAATATTCTTATTTTATACAAACCAAGGGCTAATAACAACAAACCAGTGGCATAGTTTTAGTAAAAACCGAAGTTGTACTAAAATTCAACCAGTGAGAGTTGCTGTTTAATCTAGCTAATAGTGTCTCTTGTGGGACAAACGTCCAGCTATCTCGCCATCGTTGTAGGGGTCTGCCTGGTGGTCTCTCCAATAGCGACTAATTAACCTAATCCATCTTACTGTATCTTCTATACCTAGCTCTGCTCTAATGGATTCGCATTCGATGTCTTAAAGCGACTTCTCTTATATTCCTCAGTATTCTCATTTCCGCGGTTGGGAGCATTCTGTTGTTGTTGAATTGTCGGCTCTTGTCTCCGCGGCATATGATAGCACGGGTCTCACCCACGTTTTGTGTATTCTGACTTTACGTGTCTCAGATATCCTCCAATGCGTGTCACTTTGTAAACTTGTGCTCGAACTTCCTGTATCACATTTCTGGAGCTGACCCCTAATTATTTGAATGTCATGACCTGTTCAATGATCTTCTCGTTTAGCTTGCACCGGACCAGTTCTTTGCTAATCACCAAAGCTGGTGTGGAGATGATCATGTCTCTTTGCAGTTTCCTCAAGTCGTGGCAGGTCATCTCCATCTCCGTCCGCATAGCAGAGAATCTTCAGAGAGCTATTTTCCATTCGATAACCGCCATTCGCACTATTGAATTTCTTATCCATCACGATGTTAAAGAGCTGCCAACTTTTCTGATACCACTCTTATTAAAAGTTCTTGGGTTAGGCCGTTTTCTGTTTAATGTTATTTTCAACTAGAATGTCAATCAGGTCTTGGACATTTATTCTATCAAATGCGTTCCTCAAAACCACAAAGCAGACAAACACGCTTTTATTAAATTCGATTGACTTTTCAATTAGTTCTCCATAGTCGCCTAATCTTTAGACAATAGGGTTATTGCTCTATAGTTATTACGATTCTTTCTTGATCCTTTCTTGAATACCGGAATGGCTATGCTTGCTTTCCCGTTTTGACATTTATAATTGACTACATAATGCTAATACTAATACTAAAATTTACTAAAAGTTAAATAAGCATCTCCGAAACTTATTGCACCATTTAAAATGCATATATAATTCGCCAGACCTGCAATTTAACAATAATAATGTGATACTATATTAAAAGAACCGACTGTGATAATCCATTTTTTAAAAACCTCGTCAAGAAAATACTTGTACATAAGTTTTTGTATAAATGGTCAATGTATTCTTCCCAAAAATATCAAGAATCACTATAGAGTTCAATACACAAAGCGCATATAAGGAATGGCGAATCTAAAACACACTTGCGTAAACAGAAATTATTGTACTACGCAATGCTTCAAAACAAAATGGAAAATATTGTAATAATGTTTTATGTTTTTCGAATTTATAGAAGATATTTTTTACTTTTCTTATGGTTTTGTCTAGTTTTTTTCTGATGTCACCGTAATACCCTATTTATTTATTATAAAATATTGTTTATAACCAAGTATCCAACAATTTGAACTTCAACAAATTTTCAAAACAGTAATCTGGAGAAGGACATGGTTTAAATCGGTAACGAAAGTGTAAGTTTCTAATAACATATTTTGCATTTTCAATGGCTAAATTTAGTCTGTTGGATTTCCAGTAAAAATATTTTCCGTGGAGTTACTACATGATACTGTAAGCTAATGTAATCGAGATTGTAATAATTGAAGCCTTCGGGAAGCAAGATACTGTGAAACTAATTTCCGCCGCATTAACCCTAGAGGAAATATTTCGCACAGGAAAAAAGGATACCCGGCATATCCATTACTTTTACACGTAGCTGAATTAATTTTCAAATTATACTGCGTGTTGTGTTTCCTTGTTACATAAATACCATTTAAATTTATGATAAATTATTCACAAATAATTAATCATTTTTATACGACTTCTCATCGTATACATCAAATTGCAAATTCAAGTTTTTTTCTTGTGTTGCGATATAAATTTATTTATAGGTCTCGGTATAATACATATGGCAATATTAATATTTCTCGTTACAAATTTTGTTGCAATCTGTATAAATGTTGATGTAAATTTGTGCATATTCAATTTTCTAATTATTAAAATAGCACAACTATACTATTGACATAATCACTTTCGATTTTATTCAATGCAAACATACTACTTAACTCACGTTATAACAATTGTTGAAAAGAAATGGATAAATAATTAATTTAAAATAACTCAAAGTTATTATTAGTTCGTCACTTTTAAAACTAAAATTCTTAAAACGGAACAAAAATGATGGAATTAACAAATACTCGAGATATTCCTTTTCGACTCACCAATATTAAACAAACTCTAACAGAAATAAAATGAAAATTAGATCAAAAGCCACACTTGTACAATTTTTGTTTACATCCTTTTTTGATCCACATCCACTTAAATTCTGTGTTGAGGAAACAATCAATGATTATTTAAATATTTTTCTTTAATCTAATCTAATAAGACTGAATTATAGTTTATAATCTTAGTTAGTATAGAAAAGGATTGATGAGAATGCAATTAAAATATTTACATTTACATTTCCTAATTTTCACTTGCATGCCGCAGACATCACTGAACCAAACTAGAAGGGGACATTGGGAAATTTAGTAATTTAGCAATTTCCTTATTCAAACAGTACCCATAACCAATAGTGTTATGGTCTTTAAGTATATATTCAGTATTATCTACTGTTTGCGATTTCCGATCGCTTCCCTAATATGTGTGGTGTGTGGTAAACATGTTTAAAATTGTTAAGAAAATTTTTTTTTTCGATGGCTGGATAATAAGGTGAAACTAAAACAAAAATGGTATAAAAAAAGTTAGGAGCAAAGTCCTGCAGAGCACGATTACCTAGATACAACCTTCCAAATGGGTTCTTTTATATTGACATTTTTTTCAAGCTAATTCTAAATAAGGTTACTAACTAACCAACCAACCAATAGATGTTTTTTTTCAACTTTCTACCCCGTTTTAAGTTTTAAGCGATTTTTTTAATGAAGCACTAATTTAAAGATTTTCTTTTCGAAATCGAGAATGTGGAAAATCGGGGTAGGTTGTGCCCCCTATAATTAAAAATTTGAAATTACAGAAACGGATTCAACCACTAATTAACCAAAACTAATACGAGAATACTTTTTCAGAAATAAAATCGTTTTCCCTGGCAACAACAGTTCCGAGTTGATTGCTAATCGGTAATTGAATATACTTCACATTACTTCGTTTCGTTTGTACACTGGTTATTTTTCGTTTTCAATTTGAATTTACGCAGCTGCCGGTATTGATTAACAAAAACTCGCCAGTCATTCGCCATTCGCTATCTCTTTCCCAGGCTATTGTATACTTTCATTGTATGTGTTGTAGTAAGAAATTTATGCAGTTCGACGTATGAGGATAACAATCGCCAATAATGCAAGGAAGCTATACCGAATCGTGGCAATAATTTATCATAATAATAGACAATTGCAATTGCAAAGGGTTTCCGCCGTTAGAGAACTTTCTTAACTATAAGTTGTATGCACCCTGTTCACTTCATTATTAGTGGCGTTTCAGATGTAGACGGATATATTAATGTAAATCAATCCTTGTAAATTTGTTACACATTGGACATATTCTCAAACGCGACTTAAACATTGCGGTAGCAATTTCCAAGATAAATTTAATAAAAACAAAAAATTTTACATGAAATTTTAAATGAATAGATGAGTTGAAAGAAGGAAGAATCTTCTATGTAAATAAATACAAGCGAAAGGGGAGACAGGAAAACTAAACAAAACAGAACAGAGTCTTAATGCAGACAAATTATAAGTCAACCATAAATATTGTCACAACTATTAATTTAATAGCCACAGGTCAAAAGTATACAGGAATACAGGTTCCGTAACATGTTGTTTTTGAGATATACGGTGTCAAATCATTTTAAGAAAGATGTTTTCGTAAATTTGTTTCATATTGTAATGAGGAGATACTTGCGCCCTAACTATATTTACTTTGCTATTAACATAATGACGCTAGTAGCATTGGCTATTGATTTTTTGGAACAAATTTTGCGTTTTTTTTTTAATAGTAATATTAATAATTAAGGTCTTGTATTAAATTTTTATAATAAATCCAATTGAATTACTACACATCAGATGCAATAGATAAAATAAAAAGTTCCTACAACTTTTAATCACGTGATAGCTTTAAATGCTTATTATATGTTTAAAGGATATTTAAATAAGGCATTCCTAATTCCATTCCTATTATTTTTTATTCTACAAGTAACCCCAAACTTTGTCATCTAGGATCCACCTTTAACTGCATGAAAATAAATCCCAATAAACTCGAAAATTCTGTTTTTTAGATATTTTCCATAATAAAGCTTAATACAAAACAGTAAAGGCTAAACGTCAACAAACCATCGTTTCTTTGTTACAGCAAATGGCAGTTTTGCGCCTGGCATGGAACCCAAACGACAAAGGACGGCCTACACCCGGCATCAAATTCTCGAATTGGAAAAGGAGTTCCACTACAACCGTTACCTGACTAGAAGAAGACGTATAGAAATTGCCCATACCCTTGTCCTTAGCGAGAGACAAATCAAAATTTGGTTCCAAAACAGGTAAAAAAATTTACAATTTTTCGTTGGTTGGAGTTTGTGTCTAAAGTAGAATGTTGTCAATACGGATAATGGATGTTTCTTTCGGTTTGCGCAGTCCATCTAATCTACAGTATTGCGCAAATATAAGAAATAAATTCATTACTTTATAAATCGATGATTTTAGGAGGTTTTTTTTCATTCAGATCAGTTGCTTATGGTATTTATTTTTTAGAAGTATTGATGGGGGAAGACCGTTGACAAATAAAATTTGATCAATTTCAGGAACTTTCACTAAAAGCACCATTCAATAGCATTTTAATATTTGTATATGTCATAGACATAAGCAATTTTAAGCATAACATGATTATTCGAGCAAGTAAAAAAGCAAAAAACCGATTGATACTTCATATTATTATATATCTACCCCCTATATTTGTTCCTATATCATTTTCAAATTGACGTTACACGTAAAAGGTAAAATACGGTTTAAATTTATTTCGTCATAACCTTCTCCATTCTTCAGCTCCAGAAAGAAATAATACAAATATTCCATTCTAGATGCACGAAAGTTGAAGCAAATATTCTTGCAAATGTTTTTGTTACATATTTTGTGGAATTTTTCAAATTTGTGTTATGGTTTGTGGCAGATGCTATCAGTGAAGTAAAACATCGACCAGTTTGGTTGAATATTTCTCTAAGAATTAATTGATTGATAAAGTAGAGTAGTAGTAGAATAAATTGATACAGTAAAACCTGAGACAATTTGTTGTTCAAAATGACTGCTTCATTTCACTTTGAAAAAGTGTGCACGTCTTTCAATAAAGTATCCGAGCAAATAGAACAGAAGGCATCTAAGCAATGTAAATAAATGTCATTTCATTGTAATTGTTGTTTAATTATTCATCCGTCCGTAAGTGGAACAAAAAAAACAACAACCTAGATTTGTCATTTGGTCGACCTTTTGAATTCATCATCTGCACCGCAAACAAAAATCGTTTATTACCTTCATTATATTCAAAAAGTCAGAAATAATTAATAGTACACTTATTAATATTTTGATTCGAAAGTTTTTTTAAATCCCTATAAAACCAAACAGCTTCACAACAAAAATATTTGAATGAATTTTCATTAGAAAGATGTTCGTTTTTGAAATTGTAATTATAAGGAACGTTTATTTAATAAGTAGTTGGCACAGCCACGACCTTAGTACTATCTGGTTTTTCACAAACTCTTGAATATTTTGTGGTAACTAGATGCATATAACATAATTATAATAACACTTTGTAAGAAACGAAAGAAAAAAGCGCGTTCAGAGAAATTAAACATGTACAAACCCCAAATCACGAAAGATTTTTCATCCTGCAAATTTAACCTAAGAAATAGGCACATAGATGATGGACCAAAAATTAAAAAATGTGACAACTTGGTGGTCACATATTTTGAAGTAGGAGTTTGTTTATTTGTTGTAAATATGTTGTTGTTAGTTGTATAGTTAAAAAGTTGGAAATTTTTAAGAAACAGTTGTTTTGACTCACTTTATCGAAAACCATTATAATGACGTAAATCGTTATGCTTGGTGATTTTGACTATATTTTAGTGGATCATTTTCAGAAAACAAATTAAATATGAATTGCAACTGACTTAATATCGGATGTCGTATTACCGAAAGATACATTTTTATCTATTGTTTTTTTTATAACGGCAGTTCTCTACTACATTAAAACTACAGTCTGAAATCCTGCTATTCGTCGTTAGCGCATTTATATATTTTTATTAACTAATTGAGCGTATTCTCTAATCACACAACATTTATTACCTGTTGTGTTCTCCATTGCTTTATGAGATTTTTTTGGAGGTGGAAATCCTTTATGGATACCAGGTAATTATACTCTTCCCTAGTAGCTAGGGATTCTAATGGTTCGGCATGCCCAGTAAAACCACCTCCGGATACGCCTCTAAGTGGCTAAAAGTTCGCATCACCCTTTTTTCCTTCTTTTCTTCCTATCGGATTATTCCTCTTTTTTTTGTTGCAACCTATTTAAGCTTCAATTCTGATCTGTCCATGTGTTTTCTTTTGGCGAAGATGGTGATTGTGTTGCAGTTGTCTTTATTTTGCATTTTCTTACTTATGATTTTGAGTGTAAGTATTGCCTCTGCAATCCTCGTTCTTTCTACGCTATATCTCTCACAATCGAAAAACGCTTGCTTTAACCGTGCCAGTTGATCCGTAGTGTATACTTAGGCCTGGGACCATGTTTTCTATTTGTCCATTTCCTTCTTTGTTCATTTTGCCAATCTTTATTTTTAATCCCACCCTTCCTGCCATATTTTCCCCCATAATGTCTATTGGTGGCGTACGTGCCATTACTGTAATGTTTATTACCTATTTCTTTAAAAGCTTTAAAAGCATATTTTTGTAGCCTTTTTACTGATTGTTCTGTTCTATATTGTGACAACTGACAGTACTGTGAACATACACAGATGACTCTTAAGTTTGCTTTATTGTTGCTACAATTCGCTAAAAACGCGTCTACATCGTAAAACAACCGCAAAAAGAATTTCTCGAAGACTGAATTTTCATTTATTCTTCTTACGAGGTGGGAGTTAAGTCTTTGCTTATGTTTATAGCTGCAATTTTTGAACATTTGCTAAATTGATCATCCAGTCTCCACTGACTGACTGAATATAATATATATGTACATTTCCCGACGAATGCATACTCTTGCATTCAGTTTTTGGTAAATGTATACTCTTACCTTCATATTTGACGAAAATTTGGAATACAAATAAATTAAAAATGTTGTGTGTGCAGTAAAAAAATATTTATGTAAGTCAACATAATACAAAAAGCTTTAATAACGAAAATTATTTAAATTAAATAAAAAAATGTAAATGACAAACAAAACGTACTTTTATTTGCATATTATATAATATGTCGTAGGTTATGATCCCCATATTCATAAATACGATTTTCGTCCTAGTTTTTCAGGGCCAATACGATGAGAATCAAAGAAATAAGAACAGTTAAATTTTATAAAACTATAAAGGAACATATAGAAATTTACAAATGAAAAAAGTTTTATTTATTTGAGCCAGAATTGCGATTGTGGCACTTGGAATTACGTATTATTGCAGCATTTTTACAACTGCATTTTTTTGAGGAACATGTTCCTTTACCGATTCATCTTTTAAAACCTTGTCCACCAGTAAGGGACGGCATTCCTATAATTTCTATTACCGATTTCTCAACATCTCATATAAATTTTTGTTCGCAAATGGCGAATTCATGCCTAGAATAAAATTGTTTTAAAACTCCCTGTTTAGTTCCTAATTTATATTAATTTTTATCGTGATCTCTAAACAAAACAACATAAATCAAATTTTTTGGATCCGTTTTACCACGCATAACGTCTGGAATGGAAACTTTAACATTGCCACCAATCACAGCACTATGAAATTTTTCTTTCGAAAGATTACACATTTTAATAGCTTGATTTTATAAGTTTCCCCTTGCTTTCTTTCGAGCATTATCAATTAAAATTTTCTTCTCGAATTTAACTCAAAACTTTCATCTTTATCTTCAATTTGGTTGCATAATGAACCATCATCCAAAATTATGTTATTATTAAGCATATTTTGAACATCTTGTCTGTCGAGCGCTGGCTTTGGAAATATCGAGGTTTACGGTGTATTATTTTCACAACATCCCACATATTTGCTAATTCTTGGATAATGTTCTTTGCAAACTTCCTACCATTATCACATTGGAGAATGGATGGGGTTCCCAAAAGAGTGAAAATGTCCATAAGTTGTTTTGCAACTTCTGACGGAGTTTTTGTTTTTATTGGGCGCAGTACAACAAATTTGGCTAAATGATCTTGATAATTTAAAATAAATTTAAATTCATCATCCGGTGGTGTCTGTAAATCTATAAGATCCAGTTGACGCCTAGAATTTATTTCACTCGTCAATATTGGTTTTATCACAATTCCTTTTTTCTTGTCCATTGCCTTTCTTTGACATGCTTCACATAAAGATAAATAAAACAAAATTGCTTCATTAGTAGTATTGTTGTATTTGGTATTAATTTCTTTCACTAATCTGTTTCGGCCACCATGACTAGTTGCCAAATAAAGATCGTGTATAATTCCATAAATTTCTTCAAATGTTGCCAAATATTTTATGCTACCCCCTTCTTATAAGGGGCGTATTAAGTTTTCTTCCTTGCCTACCACTATTATATCGTATTTTTTAGCCGGCGGTATTCTACGTCACTTTTATTCTTTTCTTTTGCTGCCTTTACTTCCGATAATATTTTTTCCTACTGATTTTGGTTTAAATAAATATTGTTTATGCTTTTTTATGGTACAATCTCTTCTAATTGGTTTTTAAATTTAAAATATCTTAAATTATATCCAGAAATCTTCAGTACTAAGGCATTAATTTGTAATGTAGTTATTGTAGGGTACATAAATAAACATAATAACATTAACATTATAGATAGAGCACTTGCACGAAATGTGTAACGTGAAATAGCGCCTACTGAACTATCCGAAACGGTAATCCGCTTACCACTACAAATGCACATGCGCATCAGATTACTAGCACTTGCGATTTCATATTTTGTATGCTGACATTTACGCAAAACGACACGGTCATAGTGAATTCAATGTACATTTTTATTATTTGAAATATATCTACTTTTACCTTAACAGATATAATTGCATCAGTGCTCACCGCATTGATGACCTCCAAATTACAAAAGTTTTGGTTAGGTGTTCCTATTCTAGTTGAAGTAACGGCGTCGTCCCTATTTAAATACTGTTATAAGGTCACACATTAACTAAGGATCCCCCAAAAATATTAGTGTGAGGGAGCAGTAAAGTGAATGTCTTTTGTATTTTGTGTTATTTTTTTAAATTTTATCCAACTTTCGCTTATATTAATATACCATATCCCTGTTAAATATCTACAGGCCTTGCCTTTTCTCATATTATAGGCACTTTTGAAGCAATATGAAAAATTGTTGAGGACATGGGACATTCCATATGTGCACGAATAAACGATTTCAAAATTCGATTTCAACAAATTAGAGTTTGTTCCATTGCGATATTTGTGGAATTTTTCTACAGTCTTTTGTCAATATGTACCTAGATTCCATTAAGTAAGCTTTTTCGAAAGAAAATAGCGCACAGTACAGGTTACTGTGTGTGGCTTGCGCGGAAGATTCGTGTCTATGTGAAAATACAATACCCATCTAAGGACCTATTTTTCATCAGTTGAACATATTTTAAACCTTTTGACCACTTGGTTGTTTGGTTAGTGATATGCCAGGTTGTTAGCATATTTTACGGTCTAATAGCGATATAGAATATAAGATAATTACCCTGAAGTTTCAGAGACATCATCATAGTTTCAAATGACCTAAAAAATGTTATATCACAAAACACCCCTCCAAATGGAACTAGAACTAGAACTAGGCAATTCATTGTAATAGATATACGAACTTGTAAGCATATTTTACGATCTAATAGCGATATAGAATATAAGTTAATTACCCTGAAGTTTCAGAGACATCATCATAGTTTCAAATGACCTAAAAATTATTATATCACAAAACACTCCTCCAAATGGAACTAGATCTAGAACTAGGTAATTCATTGAAATAGATATACGAACTTGTTGTCGGTGACATTATTTAAATGAAAAATCTGACAAAATCAGAGAATCGGTACTAATCAGGAACATAGTACTAGTACGTTACCATCTTTCGCATTTTAGTGAGCATAGGTGCCACTATTTTTTTGACAACTAAATGCTATCTTATTTGAAATAGAACACCCTGTCTGTTAATTTTTGAATTCCTCTGAACTTTCTATACACATTTCCTATATAATATACCTTAGCCTTCGTTTCTGACATGTAATTTTATTAATGTCATTCATTTATTAATATGTTTGATTTTGTTATAATATCGCGTTAGATAATCTCAGTAAACGGAAAGTATCCAGGCATCAAAATGGAATGATCCACTGACTTGAAAATCGATATTTCCCTGAACGGATACTTAATTTTATTAATATGAATAATGATTATTTTTATGTCCAACGTAAACGTCAATATTGATTGATTCTATTATTCTTTTTCCTAGAACATACAAAATACTTATTAAATGTTAGCGATTGAACGTTAAAGCACAGCTTGTTTTTCTTTTATTTCAGACGTATGAAGTGGAAGAAAGATAACAAATTACCGAACACGAAAAACGTGCGTCGAAAAACAAACCCAGCCGGCGTCACGACTACCACGGCGACGCCCGGAACTCCGGCAAACGGAAAATCGTCAGCAGGCAGCGGGGGCGGCAAGGGCCGGGGCGCGGGGAAAGCGCAAAATGGTCCCGCCTCCTCAAACAACAACGATAAGAGGAAGAACAATAATACACGGTAAGACTGAACGCTAATTTTGTGTGGATATGGATGCGTTAGATAATGAAAGAGCGATTAGAGAATTACCCAAATTATTTAACTTGATTTAATCCAAATACAATTTCAATCCTGCAACAAGAGTTTCAGGAGGAGGAAAATTTAGTATTGCTACTGTTAATCCTAAGGGAATCAACCAATAATCCAAGTTAAGAACGTCCATACTGACTTTAGGTGTACAACAACAAAGCCTTTCATTTTATTTCAGACAAATTGAAAGAGAAGAAAGACATTTGTGAGGAAGAAATTTCAGTTGGCTAGCTCGTAGTGGCTCTTTTTCAGCCTATTCTCGCTCGAGAAAATGAGCCATAGCAATAACTGCCGAAAAAAAATGCTACAGTGGTTAATTATCTCAGTACATGTAACTATATTTTTTTAATATTTTTGGAAGCATTTGGGGTAACAATGAATAACAATGGATCTCTATTTTTGTAAAACAATTGAAAGGCATTCTCGAACACTGAATTTTAAGTTGTATATCCAGCATAACATGTGATCACAGACTCAATCTTCTACCTAACATATTCTTCTTGCTGAACATGAAAGAAACTCGTCGGAGGAAGTTTTCAGGAACTGTATGTGTAGTGGCATTAACATGCTGAAAAATTCGGATATTGCAGTTGCTGAATATAGAGCAACCAGACAGGTTGCAATACTTTGTTAATGTTGGATTGAGCGCTCACGTCTCTGTCCAAAGAACTAGAAAATTAGATTAGAAGACTAAAAACTAGAAAAAAAAAACTAGGAAACTGGCTTATGGCATGCGAAACTATAAAGAGCCTTATCTCGCTGCAATCGCACGTTAAAAAGGAAATAGAAGTTCGCAACGATGCACGACAAGACTTTTAATGTATAATTTAAGTACCCCAAAGATAACAAAACCGAATGGCTCTAAGCACATTCTTTTTAAAAAATCAAAAAAACAAATAAAATAAAGAAAATCAGAAAAAAAAAACGCTCTACTTCTTGCATGTAATCAACCTAAAATATATTATTACAATACTATGTGTTGCAATTTCTATAGTAAACAGATATGTTAAATAATAAATACAGTGAAAATAAGAATGTTGGATGATTAGTTGTTTTTTTATTAGAATTGATCATTTGCCCATAGCTTTTTATTCCTAATATTTTATTTGACGATACAAAGAAATCTTGACCCTCATTAACTTGTCATTTAGACTTAAAAGCGTTTTCTATTCCCTACACTAAACTGCGCAACTGATCGGGGTTTCACTTTAAAACGCCCACTTCCTTAAACACTTTCGCATGACATTTCCAGCGTAATTTAGCCACGGAACGGGAGCAATCGCATATCAAATGTATATTCGCATTGCTTTTCAAAAACATTTGCTTGTAGAAAAACTATGTTATACAATACGTTGATAAACTTCTTCACCCACTCTTTTATTAAACACTCGTTTTCGTCGCGCCAAATCAAACTCAAGACTAATGTGTCGTTTATCCTACTTGTTGCATAATATACTATCTTTGGTTGGTTAGAATGGTAACATTAACAGGGGGGTTGGGCTGATTTTAATCAAATTATTTAAATCACGATTAAAATCATGATCTAAATCCCTTGATTTTTTGAATTTAAAACTGTGATTTAATTCAAATTCCTATTTTTTAAAATCTTTTTTTATTGAGATCAACAGAAAAATCACAACGTAAAAATATTATCAAAAATAAGAAGTTAAGCACTCTTTAAGAAAATATATCCCCATTCTGTTCTGTTCTGTTCTGAAAGTTCGTTCTACTCACGCTGAGGAAGCAGTTGTACACAGGAACTGTTTTATTATTGGTAGCTATTTCGTAATTTCTGACTCATGCTTTTGTGATGTCTACCACTGTATTCCATTTATGTTTTTTGTTATTTCATCCGAAAACATAGTTTTATTTACTGAGCAACTGCATTACTAATGGCAAAAGTACAGTGTTTCCATATAAATTATTAATTGTTTCTAAAGCTAGTTTATTTTCTTCGGGTGTTAACTCAAATTTTTGCTTTTGAGGTTTGATATGGCGTGGGTGCCTGCTTATATCGATTCTGAATTTGTTGTATTTTTGATAAAGGTAATTCTATAACATTCTGGAAGATATATTGTAAATGTTTCCACCGCTCTACAGCATCTGAGATAATAGCGTTTTTCTCTGCAAAATATCAAGTGCAACTGATTTTGATTATTAAATGATAAATCAGAAATGCGCCCAATTTTCCTTTAAAGAAATGGTAAATGGTTTATTGAAATTTATTAAATTTATGCGGTGAACTTTTTTTTGTCTCATTAAAAATAAAAATAAGTAAGTATCTAAAAATTATAAACATTAACATAAATAAAATATGCATGAATTCAATTTTTGGCAAGAAAAGACAAAAAGGACATGACATTTTTTAAATAACAATTACCTTAATTTGATTGAAAACGTTTTTGTGAATACCATGCTACTTCTATCCTTTACGAGATGGAAATTAAAAAAAAAGAAATTAGTAATAAAGCAAAATATTATTTACCTACCTGTAATATTATCACAAACATCATGGTCTTTCAACTATCCCTTGAATTTCTTTCTTGCAGATTTTACAAATTTTTACAAATTTATTTGGATCTCTTGTTTTAATGTAAATCTGTTATATGCTATTTTCTTTTCTTGCTCTATTTTCCAATAATTCCACATTATTTCCAAAGAAGAACTTGAAAAAAATTGTTGAATTTCTTCTAAGATATTTTATTGGTTAGAAAAAAAAACCAGTTCTTCTTAATTTTACTAAAAAGTCCATATAAATTCGGTGTCACTTGGCAAGGTATGAGTGCTGGTAACCTAACATCCCGACGTTAATATAAAACCCCACATTAAAAATATGATTTCTTTCTTTCCTTTCACGATTACAGTGCGTCCCTCTCTGATTTATTGAGCTCTGTTTCACGCTTTCCTGTACGGGGTAAATGGTCAAAAAAAAAAAGAAAATATTTGTAGATTTACAAGATGAATGCCAAGGGGCGTAATCGCCATCTTATTTTTTTTTAATCTACTTAATACCAAAGAAATAAAAAATAAAATGAAACAAAATAATAATAACGTTTTCAAGCTTATAATTTTTCTTTAACACTTGTCACCTGCCTTTTAAATAAACCGCTATCAATCCTAAACATCTGAACGGATTTTGATAAGCTCGGTCTCGTTAAAAATGCTTTTATAGCTTCATCAACCGATATTATACAGAAAATTGCAAAATTCTATAAAAAATGAACGGGAACAATATGACTGTTATACTTTTTACAACACTTCTGGATTCCTCCTGCGTCGGTTTTTGTTGAGTCGAACTTTTTGCCAACCATCCTGTTAGCCTCAGAGCTTAACTGAAACTGACTGGCATTTTACTCTGTACCTGCCTATATATTGTTTGAGGGGGGCGGAGCTAAATGAGGGGCATAAACATCGTCTCGGATGACTTATTCCCATATTGCGATTAAGATTGTTAATTGGCTTATAGATTATAGGCTTAAGAATGTTAGTTTTATCGAATAAAATTTTATGCCTGGTTTCGTGATTGTGTTCGGCAACTACTGATGAGTTTATTTGTCTGAGTCTTAAAGCTCCTTCATGTTCTTTGAGCCTAGTTGATATTTTTCGTCCGGTCGGCATGGAATGCTGTAAACTCTTGGCATTCCATGCATATGCAGCAAAGAATATAATCGGACATAAAAATTTATTTGATAAAACTAAAATTATTGCATGTAATCAATTTTTCTAACAACGAAAAATCCGCGAGGCTATAGAAGTCTACAAGCAACCTAACAATCTTAACCGCGACTCAGGTCTATATCAGAATCAGTCATCCGAGACGTTGTTTATGCCTCTCATTTAGCTCCGCCCCCCTCAAACAATATATAAGCAGCTACAGACTAAAATGAGAGTCAGTTTCAATTAAGCTCTGAAATAGCGAACAGGATGATTGGCGAAACGTTAGCAAGTTTGATTCAACGAAAACCGACGCAGGAGGATTTCAGAAGTTTTATAAAAAGTATTACAGTAGCCTGTGGAAGTTTCTTTGAAAAAAAAGACTGTTTTTCATACAAATGTAGTAAAATCATACATAAATGGGCTAGTGAAAACTGTATCTCGATATCTTGTCCCAAGCCTGGAATATCAAAGGAAGAAAATTCGTTATTCACAATAATTTTTAAAAGATGCTGTTGCACCAAAATTTGTGTTTATTTTTTTTTCAAAATTTCAGATATAGACCTCAGTTTCGAAGACACTGGGCTAGTACACTGCACGAATATATTCCAAATGTGCTAAGACATTAACAATATACCACATATGCTATGACATTAATATTATAGGCTGGGACTTAGATATTAATATGTGGTATATATAAAGTTATTGATCATTTAGTTAACCCCCCGCCAGTACTATTTTATTTTAATAGGTACGTGACAACGTGTTCGAGTAAAAATACTCGGCTAAAGCTTAGCATTAAAAGCTTATAAGTATCTTGTATTTTTTGGTACATGTATTACGTGGATTTTAAATCACGTGGCGGTTATGCCCCCTGGAGATCATCTTGGAAATATGAAAAGAAAAAATCTTTCTTGGACCAGTAATGAATTTTTTTTCAGAAGTCCTGATGACAAATATTTTCCGAATAATAACTTTCTTGCGTTGTGTTGTAGTGTATTTGTCGTGCTTTTCACAAACCTGAACATTTTTTTTCTGGAGCGAATGGTGCCGCAAACAACATTGTCATAGAAAATCTTTAGTTTTCAGGCTAGAGTGCGCTTCAAGAATTATTGTTGTTTCAGGTACCTCTTGTTTCTCAGTGGTCAGATGTCTTATCCTATTGGAACTTTTTCGCAGAATCCTGTGGGTTAATCAATTTTTGTCAACGTTTGTTGCTTTCAAATATAACGCCCTACATATTTTTTTGATTTTTCAAAAAGAATATTGCGTTTTTACAAACTCTCCAAAAATATGTAATAGTATGAGTTTGTCTTCTAAATTTTGCAAACTGAAATTCCAAGCAATCTAATATCGAAAAAGATTTCATTAGATTAAAGGAATACAATAGTGCCAGGAAAACCGACACCAAATATTTTCCAGAACTTAGCAAGATAGGTTTGGTTCATTAAATGTGGTTCTGACTTTACATTAGAAACACATAATAAATTTTATTCATACATTTCGAGAAGCTCTATCATAATTTCTTCACGGTAGTCGTCCCATTATTTGGCTTAATTCTTTAAAAGTTATATAGATACTATTAATATCTTTAAGGAACAATTGCATTTCTTTTTTCTTTTTGATTTATTCTGCGTCGGGTTTTGCTTCTTTGTCGCTGACGATTTTAGAAGCCAATTTAGCGAAACGTGAGCCAATCCCCACCCAACGCAGGAGAATTCTAGAAGCGGCAAACTAACCATGACATTGTTCTGAAATTGTTTTGTTATTGCTTATTCAAAACACAGCTATACCATTATGTAATTTGTAGAAAAACTTGTATACAGCCAAATTTATTTCATCTGGTGTTCAATTTCAAAAAGCCAAAATAATTAGACAAATACTGACTACGTTGCTGGAAAAGTTCTAATTGGATGATTGTTTTTTTTATTCATTTAATGAGTTTCAGAGAACTGAGGCACAGGGGGGTAAGTACTAGAAAATGCATTATTCTAAATATCCTCTTGTAGCTCGGAAACCACGAGTGCTTTGACAATTTTGTTTGCAGTTTCCTTGGTTGCACAAAAAACTATCTCTGGTTCGCGAAAACCTAAGTCATTTCCAACAACAATGAGACGCAATGTACTCTAGAGGAAGTAGAGTGAGCGGCATTTGTTTGTTGCAGAGAGTTGGACGGTTTGGACCAGAACATGTTAGACATGTCTCTAACTGGGGCTCACCAACTACCAACAACTATCTCCGGTCATTCCCATGCTCACCCGATGTCAGTAAGTAACCTTCACCACGCAAACACCATGCTACATGGAGACCCATCGATGACCCATATAGGTGCCGCGATGACTGGTCCACCGATGACACCATTAGCACCATCTCCGGGCTGTGGTCCTATACAGGGTGCTCCACAGCCTGTTATTAAATCGGACTACGGTTTAACGGCACTGTAATATAAAAGGTGGCGATAGACATAGATTCGTTTAGCGGTTAGATAAAAGGTATGGTTGGGAGTTGGTTGTGTAGTGTAAATATTAAATACTTTTTGAGTTAAAGGATATTTTGGTTATATCAAAGGAATCATTCAAGATATTAGTAGCTAGTTTCAGCACTTAAACTTGGCCTGATTATTGCAGTCAGATGGATTCATTTGATCTTTACAAGTGGAAAATAACTGTTTATTAATTATTTGTACATAATGTATCTATAAATATGGAATATGTCGTCCATCACACCTACTTATTTTACTGTAAATAAAAACACCGACAATATAAGCGCGTTTTTTGTTGTATATAATAATCGTAATATAAGTGTTGTGACATGACAATGAAAATTGTAAATGGGCAAAGAGCATTTCCATTTGGAAATCGTATTTATAATGATTTTATTTCCACCTGCATTTTCACACTTCTTCGCATTTTATCAAAAAATCTGGTTTGCCAATTTTTCAAATCACCCGATATAGTGAATGACACAACCTCCGTACGCAAACCAAAAATGTTTAGTTGTACCCATTTTCTTTAAAATTGCATAGTGCTGTAGCAAAATATCTATTCGGTGTAAATAGTACGAAATTTTTTTAATTGTGTAAATAATTTTGACATCTCGCGTTAAATAAATTGCATTATTTTATCTAGTCGGTGGAAATTCGGGAATAGATAATGAATCTATTCATTTTCCGATGAACTTTTATTTATGACCAAACAAACGACGATGTTTTGGTTTACAAATAATTTTGTGCCATTTTTTGTTGTTAATTCGATAAATATTTTTAAATAAAATGTGCATGATGCGTTTCTAGGAATTAATCGGTAATCTTTTGTTTTTTTTTTGTTGGCGAAAAGTATCGTTTATCCACCGCGAACGCGTTTCTATGTCATGTGGATAACCCTGAAAATATTTAATAAATGAATGTATTTACCTGCAACGGTATTGCAAAATAATCAATACCACATTTTAAGTTTCAATAGTTATTTTTTCCGTAATGTGTTTTCGCGTCCGTTGCTGATTTTTTTTAATATTGTTAATAAAAGGATGACGAACCCAGTGTGATTTTTAAATATGGTTAAAATATAGTTTTAGAAGATGTATATATATTATTATTAAAAATAGAAATAAAAATGTATACTTCTAATGACAGTCTTTGATTCCATTGATCACCTTAACGGAAACGTTCAAACAATCCCATTTAGTGTTAACATTAAGAAGATAATTTACTGATATTCGATATAAGAAAAGCACGAATATGCCAACATTAACAATAATTCAAAAGTTGGCTTTAAAATTGAAATATTTGGAATTCTAGAACTTTGAAAAATATCGACGAAAACCGTCTTGATAAATCAATAATCTAAACGGAAAGTTTCCAACAATACCAAACGGTGATTCTAACCCGTTTGTTGCTTGGCACGGAGTAGCAGAACACAAAACACAGTTAAACAAAGCTGGGTTCAATATTATGTCACTCACAGATTAACATTGAATTAAAAATTCCGTTCAGCGAATCAAATCAGTTTACGTCGCTGCTTCATTAGGTGTTCAATTCGCAAGAAGGAGGAACGAACCAGCTCGCAGTGTTCTCTACAGATTGTCACCAAATTTGCAAAAATCTCTTAACGATCTTAAAAATTATTTTAAAAGATAGGACTACCCACAATTTCAGAAAATCACCTTATATATTTAAACACAACTTCGCAATGCCTTAATCAGTCAAGAAAATACTTACATCATTAAACCAGAACCTATAAACATCGTAATTGAAAATTAATACAGATGTGATTTTTTTTTTAACAAGACAGCCTCAACATGTGTAGGGTGGTTTATAATGTTTTAACAGGAAAAACCTATTTCTGAACTAGATTGAGCAAAATCGAGTTACATGCCAATTGCTCGATTTTTGAGAGACATTTAATGGTTATTTATACAGTTCTCCGCTTTCTCATAAATGTATAAAACTTTCTTATTTTGTATGGCAATCATAGTTCGCTTGTATCGAGCCCTTTGCAATCATATAGGTTTGTTGGTATCCGTGATGAGAAAAGAGGGCATTTTTTGTTTATGTTTAGTAGGTCGTCATAATATGTCCAAAAAGATGTCACATAGAAACCTATGAAATAATTTAATAAACACTGGAACTTTAATTTCAATTTTAGATATATTTTTTAATATTTAATATTAATATTTTTGATTATCCCTCTAGCTCTGCTTTGGTTTGGAAAATTCTATCTTTAAATATAACATGTTTTAATCTCCTCCATAAAAAAATCTAAAGTAAGGTACCTACACGATCTCGCAGGCCACAGAATGGGGTCTCTAGTTCTAATCCAACATTATCCACACTCTTCATGTAAAAGTTCACTTTGAATCAGTGGGTTGTTAGCGCGGCAACCATTTTCTTAATAATAAATACTATTTCCAAGAATTAATGGCATCTTCCGAAAATGGAACAACACATGTTCGCAAAATAAGGCCACACAAATCTACATCGGAAAATTCCTACCCATACATTGAATCCAAAGCCACCTTGCCGATTTTGATGTACTACAGCGTGAGAATTTTCTGTGCTTCAGCGATAAGAATTGTGTCTCTTAAACATTCCGACAATCTTTTCTTTCTCTATACTATATCGTGACCCAATTAGACACTATTAGACCGAAAATAGCTTGCGAAGGAAATTCGCAATTGCAAGCAGAATGCAGAGCTCAATTCATCGTTGACGTGACAAACTTGGATAGTTGGCCTTGGATAGTTAGACGCAATCCAGATGAGACCACTTTTAGAGGTTATCCCGTTGGGTATGCGGTTACAGAACTTCAATGGGTTATAGTAGTCCATATAGCTATTAGATAATTTAGTGCTCATGCTCATTTTGAATAGACCTCAATTTTTTTTTCATTTTTACTTCATAAGTTTTTGTATTATCGGCATGTACAGGGATCTATATCTTCTAAGAGTTAAATCTAAATGTATAAATCATTTCAATTTGTAAATAATATCAACTTTTACAGTAACATATAACAATAGACATAGGCTCTATATAAACCTTAATGCAGTTACATTATTTAACAGCATTAAAATTAATGAATATTTTTTATCGAAAATTATTACCCTAATTTCGTACTTTAAACGATTTAATTTAAATGTCGGTCAGTGTTTTCTTCCATCTTTACGTAGACTTTTACTCAACGTTTTGGTCCAATTATATATTTAAAAAAAGGCTCTTATAATTTGCTCGCACCAACAAGGCCCTAGGCATCCGAAAAAAGGTAAAAAAATCAGGGTAAAACAAAAAAACTACCTCTCCTAATAACCTCCGCTCATACAAAATCGATTAACGGCACCTTTTCTTATTCTTTTTATCCGTTCTCCCATATACACGAGAATTTTTTCGAGCGGTCTGTCGGACCGGACTGTTCCCGTTCTCGTCGCTCGGTCGGTCGGTTTCATGCTAGGGTCGAATATATTTTCTGTCAGTTGCTTTGATATGTGTCTGCATGCCGGCCAATTATGTGCCGAGACCTAGTGGGTCGATCCCGCCATGAGCCCGTCACCGGGAAATATTAAATTAACTTTTGTTTAATACGAAAATATTGCTACGGCGCGCCTTTAAAGTGGACGGAGACTGTAAATTTCGGTACACGTCTGTTTCCGTCCGTTTCGTTACGGATAATTTCAAATATTCATTTAATATCTGAAGAAAATCAGTTTCTGACAAAATCGTAACACTTGGAAGAAACTGTTATACCCCAATATAGACATATTCTGACGATAGTTCAAACGAGTCGTCACATTTTGAGCATCTTTGTTCAAGCCTTTCAAGATTATCATTTATTTTTCGAATTCGAGCTATGGTGGATGCAGACTATCGTGATCCTGTCAACCTATATTTCGCAAAGTTAAATTTAGCCTTTGGCCTGTGAATATCACATTTTTATAAATTTAGGTAGCAAAGAAGTCTTTTCGTCAATATCGAGCCGGCATAATTATAACTTAATGCATTCCATATTAGAGATCTCAAAGTTTAAATTAACGAACTAAAGTAACAAAAATATTTCTACTATCGAATCTTTAACAGGCTTCCTTCCTATTGCGACTATGGGCGTTGGTTTTATAAATTTAAGAAATCCCGACTGCATTTACCAAATTACTGCTTTTATTATAGCAAGGATTATTAATTTTAAACTTTGTTCTCGCTTATTATTTATTCACTTAATATATATCTATGAAATTGTACAAACTGCGCCAAAACTAAATCAATTATCCTTTCTGATCTCTTTATAGCAACTTGACTATCAAATTACATTATACAACTCGCCAATAATTCGCATAAGTCGCAGATTCAGCTACTTAAATGAATCAGCAACAAAAGTTTCGTCTTTATTGAGACTCTCCAATGTTGTGCAGAACATTTTTTTCCATTAAATAATCAATTCTTGGAGTGTTTAATGTAAAATATCGCCTACAACCTTAACTAACAATATTTTAACCTTTTTCCTGTGCGTTTTTTAGAGCCAAAATCGAAGCAACAACTTAATGCTTTTGAAAGTATTTCTGCTTACAAAATTCTTTGAGGTAAGTTGGAATTAAAAAAAAAGTTTCTTGTGGCCTTTGTACAGTTTCATACAATTTCGTGTCAAACAACTCAAACAATATTATCACGATCACCACAATTTGTGATACTATTAGCTTCTTACGAATTAAAATGGCATTTTAATTTAGAAATTTGAAGCAAGCAAAAACTGATGCCTTACAGAACAACTGTAAAATATAAATAGAACAAAGTAAAATATTCTAATACTATTAGTTTTTTTTTTACATTAAAAACTTATCCTTAAGAGAAGTAAAAATATTTTTACCTAATGGCTTAATTAGCATATCTGCCAAGTTTGATGAGTTCAAATGTACTCTACCGTTATTTTCTTTCTAGAAACTTAGGCTTTCAAGTAGTTAATTTTGATATCAATATATTTAGCCCGTTTAGAATTTTCATTACTTTTATAAATTAAAATTGAGCTTTTATTATGGCAATAGAGTAATCTTTCGTAACTAACTTTAAAGTCATTTAAAATACTTTTAAGATTAGCAGAACCAGCCTCTGCTACAATCTAAGTTTCTGCAGTCGAGAGCGCAACTTAATTTTGCTTCTTGGAAAACCATAATACTGGATTTTATGATGTCAATCCTATTTCTTTAGTTCCTTGTAAAAACTGTAATGTCATTTTGATGCATTCTATGTTCTTTCAGTTGATTTGTCCAAAAACTGCTCAAATAGGAAACCGAAAATGTTATGTCTGGTCTAGCTTTTGTAGATTGGTAGATTAATTGTCTATATCTATTAATATTTTATGTATTTAATTTATTATATTATTTTCTTCATTGTACTAAAATCCTTTTTCCACAGGCGTTCCTTTGGGCTTACATTGCTCCATCTTAAAATTATTTAATTACTTTTCTATAAAATTGTTTTGATTCATCTTTATTATATCTTCTGATCCCACTATATTCTTTCCTAAGAAGTTATTATTTTGGCCAAAATCCTTCTCTTGGAAATAATAATTTAAATGTTTAACTGCTTGCCCCAATTCATTGTGTTTTCCAATAACTAGCATATCATAAACATAAATTAGGATCCGTACGACAGTAATATTTTGATCTTTCATAGTTTTGGTTAGTTACTTCAGATTCATTGAAAGTATTATTCTACACCTTAGGTGACACTTTTAATTTGTATAATCCTCAATTCAGTTTCAGTATCCGGGAGTTTGTCTTTAATTGCATTGGAGTATCAATGTTAACTCCACTTTCTGGTTTTCCCTTCAAAAATGGTGTAAGAATATCAAATTTCCTTATTTCCCATCAGGTGCAGGGCAATAGATAGTCTTATTTTTGATATTCTTGCTATAGGCGAATAGACTGCTGCAAACGGATTCTCCTCCTATAATTGAAATCCTTTAGCATAAAGTCTTACCTTCTTTGTCTTAAATTCCCATTTTATTTCAATTGCTGATTTTCCGCCTGGCAAATTTTCTTTGCACCATGTCTTTAGC